TGTACTTCGAACTTCAGCTACGTTATTCACGTAGCTGAAGTTCCGTACCTTAGTTCGAATTAGGGGGTTAGTGTAGACCTGGCCTTAGTTTAATTTCATTTGTGATCAGTTTGAACTCTGGCCATTTGAGATGGAAGGTAACACATTAAGTCACTGCAGCAGAGCAAACATTTTGGCAATATAATGAGATGCATTAGTCCACTGAACGTGCAACAGCTTCTAGGTGAAGATACGAAGCTAAATGTGTTACTTGAGACAATGAATAGTTATCCCTGTGAGGAATGAGAGGCAAAGGGGAAACCCGTCCAGTCCCAGTACTAGGCCCATTGCACTATATAGTTTGCAGTCTGAAGATTGGGAGACTTCAGGAACTATAGCCCATCTGCACTAGTTGAAAGCCACACAGAGAAAACCTCTCATGCTCACTTTATACCTGGTAAGATAGAAATTTGCAAAGAAAAAGAATCTAGCCTTAGCCTCATGTCATACTTGTTGCAGACACAGGGGTGGATGCCTTCATTGGGGTGGCAGGTGAGGCAGAGAGGGGTGTGGACTGGCTTAGGGGCCCTCCAGGAATAGGTTTGGAGGTAGTGGAGAATGAAAACATCGTGGAGCTGTTGTGACTGCTGCTGCCAGCAGAAGCAGACGTGTCTATGGCAGTGAACCTGAAAGACAAAACGGCAAATATTTCAGCACCCTGAACTGGACATAACTTCCTCTCATAGACCCAAAGTGAAGCATTAACATCTAAAGAGGAAACAGTTTTTAAACTTTGCGAATCAGTACTGGGACTCAATATCCAGATACCAAGTACTGTTCTAGCTGGGAGTGAAGATGGGAAGAAGCCGTTCAGGGAATATGGATGAGACTGCATAGCTGAAGGAGCAGGTGGTGTTTTCAGAGAATGGGAAATTGGTGAAAGGACAAAGTGGGCTCGGGGACAGTCACCAGATGGGGGCTTTTACACCTCATTCCAGAATGTTGGATTCAAGAGGCATATGCAAGCCAGACAATCTAGTCTGACAAGATTCTGTGGCTCACATGACATGGCTGCTCTAATGGGTAACTGCAGAGAATGTCATGAAGAAGAACGGTCTTCTGCTGCTGGTGAAGGTTATCTGATACTTGGCTCCTGCTGCCTCAACCACCAGAGCAGAACTGTGTGGAGACTATTCCCCACAGAACTGCCAGAGTTGTGTAGGAGTCAGCTCTGGATCAGGGAATTGTTCAATTCTAGGAATCATCCCACCCCCCGTTACATCAGGCACAGAGGAAAATTAACAACCAGCAGCCTTAAAACCTGAGCTATACATCAAATGAACCTAGTGCTGGCACTGTAAGGTGTGTCAGGTATTCCTTTTAAAAGGCAAATGCTGCAGGAGAACAGGAACTTCCATTTATCTTAAAAACCAGGACCAGCACTTGAGATGAATAATCAGCTGATTCAGGAATTGATCACCTTGTTTGTCTTTAACATTCACTTTAAACAAGCTTTAAAAGCTACAGTCCAAGATCTTAGTGGAAGTAGATTTTCTGATTTAAAAATAATTCTTAGAACCATTAGAAATTTCCTTATACAAATATAAAGAATTGATCTCATTAAACCCCTGCTCCAATTAACATTTCCCGTGGTGGTCTAGTCTCTTCCCTTTAAAGCAGAGTGAGTTAAGCGAATTAAATCTCTGTGAGAACAGACAGTGGGCTTTGGAGCCACAATAACTTTTTGCACCGGTGACTCAAATCCAATTCATATGGATACTGATCAGAAGCAGTTACCCTCCAATTGCTTGTGTGAAGTGTATTGGGAGGACTCAGGTCCAGCTCTCAATGAACAAATGTCAGCATAAAAAAAACCCACTTACCTCTCACTGATAGGCTCAGTAGAGAGAAAAGAATGACAGGACCTTGAAAACAATTACTCTCTCACCCCTAGGTCAGGGTGAGGCACACTAGTGAACAGCGGAGGAAGCCTGCACTGCTACTACCCATGCTGTACTTGCTCTGGACACAGAGAATTTCAAATGGCAATGGTGTTGAATTGGTACCTTCCACCCGTATTAAGTTAACAAAAGCCAAGAGACAAGATTATGAAAAAAAAAAAAAAGATAAAAGCACTAGGTATATAGCAAGCTGGTGCTGTGCAAGTTTTGCTGCTTTATGAATACAACCTATGACAACTTCACTATTCCAACCTCGTACCGATGACAAAGCCTTGGGTAGAGAAGGCGATCCTCAGGACTCCGTCTGGAGCATAAAGGATCCCCTTAGAAAAATCACAAACTGGAAATAGCTGTTTGATCTTAATAACTATCACCACATGCTACACATTCCCAAACTGGTTTAACCACTGCCCACCTTTTACATAAGCCATCAGCTTGCACTTACTTCTCACTTAGGTTTACTTTGACAGTAGATGCTGTAGGGGTGAAACATGGTTTCAGTCCGGCGGGTGTGGTAGACAGTGGTGGCACAGATGCGCTGTCTGTAGTTGGTTTAAAATTTGTAGATCCAAAAGAAAAGGAGTTGGCAGTAGCTGCCATGGGGCCTGCAGCGGGGGAAGGAGCCATTGAAGCTTTGGAAGAAACAGAAGAGAAAGAGAATGCAGCTGCTCCAGTTAGACTGGAACCCAGAGCTTGCTTGGAGACATCTGATGCAAAGGGATATGGTGGGGGGTCTCCAGACATAGAGCCAGACGTCTTTACAGCTGAAGATGTAAAGGAAAAAGTGGCTGCTCCACCACCAGCAGAAAGCAGACTAGAGGCTGAAGATGCAGGAGCAAGAGGTGGAGCTGAGGCAGGAGTGACAACTGGTGAAGTTTCAAACTTTGAAGGAGCAGGAGGTGTGGTCGGGGTTGTGGCAGCACTTCCTGGAGAAAAACAATGGGACCAAGTTAATATTCTATCATTAAAGGAAGTATTGCAAGCGGACAGTAAAAGTCAATCACACTACTGAGACTGACAACACCACGAAATGACAGGGAGGAAGGGGGGGTTTCAGTCTCCAAGTCAAACCGCTGAGATATTGAATGGACAAAGCCCAAGAACTGCTCGATACTATCATTTCCCCAAGCCATTCTGAATTAATTTAGTCTGGAATTTCCAGTGAAAAGGCTTCATCATTCCTCCATCAGTTTTGATGTGGTTTGTTTCATCCCAAATAAAGCAGCCTGCCAGTGCACAAGTCTACTGTGGATGCAACGAGAGGCACAATGCCAAACTAAGGCGTTCTGTTCCAAGAGGTAAAAGCAAATGTTTAGATTTAAAGAAGAAACGGGTAGCTTTGCACTGAAACATCACTCCATGTATACAGGGAAGCGAAACAGAATGAATTCATCTGCCCAGGCTGGCACAAGGAGCCCCCTAATCTACATTTTACACACACTGTAATATGCTCAACATGCCTATTAAGACTATTTACTTCCCACCCAGTTTTCCAATGCTATCGTTGCAGTTGATCCGAGACCTGTTTCAATAAGCCCTCATGATCACAAACAAAGCATCTAACGCATGTCATGGCCCCATGCAGAAACAACATATGGGAAGAACACAAAAGTTCTTTAGGACAGGCACTCTTTTCGTTCTGTGTTTGTATAGCACCTGGCACAATGGGACCCATGACTGGGAGGTCCTAAGTGCTACTACAACACAAGCGATACATAACACCACAACAAGAGTGCCCAAGATGCCTTCTTGAAAGATACAGGTTATGGCAGTTGGTTTGCCACATAGTTGCAGCTCTGTACCCCAAAAGTGACTGGGTATAAGTGTACAGTTTGAGAAATGCTTTGGGTTCCTTCACCAGGACTAGTGAGTTCTATGTACATTCACACAGCTGGTGGAATGGAACCTTGAGCATGGAAACCATCATGAGCTGCTTCCTTCGCTCTATATGCTGGGGCACAGGCTTGTTTTATTCCACAAAAGCCTCCTAGTGGTCACCCTCTAACTACCTGGATAGCAAGCTTAACAGCTAAGTACTTCAAAGTGCCACAAATTAAAGCGCAAAAGCCTCTTTCCCACACGTGGGAGCACCCACCTGCTGATTTTGGTGCTCTCTCCCCTTCTATTGACAGTTGCTCTGGGGTCACTATGAGCGATCGGACACCTGGGTTTTGATTGATCATATAAAATGGGCATAGCACTCCATCCGTAGAGAGCAATATTAGAACTGGAGCTGGAGGGAGGGTCTTCTCATCACCTGCAAAAGACCACACAGCATGCTAATGACATTGTCAAAGTCACCTGCCTTCATTGCCACCATCACCCCAAATCCCTCATATTTGACTTTCTTACCATCTCACATCAAAGCTACTTATTCTTGCCTATAAGGCTGTGCATATCTCTGCTCTCATCTTCCCCTACAATTGCCCCAATTCGTCTACTTCGCTCCTCCATCAGTCTCTCTCTCATTCTTGACTTCACGGTTTTCTAAACCGATATATTTTAAGGCCAGAAGGGACCATGATTATCTAGTGTGACCTGCTGCTTAACACAGAGCATAAAGTTTACCCAGTAATTCTTGCATCATGCCTTCTATTATGCAGCCCCATATGTTTGAAACAGTCCTCTTGTCTTCACTCCCCAAGAGCCTATTCTCTCCTCCCCACAACGCATAAAACTCCCTCTCACTTCTCAGTAATCCCCATCTCTGTCCTGTGTCTTGCCCAAGACTAAGTTCTCCTGAGCCAGAAACAGGTCTTATTTCCTTTTTGTAAAAATGTATAACTAAAATGCCATGCAACATTTTAAAAATAATGCCAACATTAAATACACACCCCTCTGGAGAGGACAGCTTAGTGGTCTAAGCCTCAGACATGAAATATCTGGGCTTCTTGAAACTACAGATTTCTTTTTAGAGTCTGCTCTGATTCAAATGTTTTCAGTAAGGTTAAAATCTGGGCTCCAAACTGCTTGTCAGATCTTTTAAAAATTTCCTATAACAGGTTTTTTTTTTATGCTCCCTATTTATATTAAACACTCAGATCTAGGACACAGAAACCTCTATGATTGTTTTTCGTCTGGTTTATGGCTGCACATTCCTCTGACTTCCCAAGACCCTATTCTTTCTCCTATTAACACCTCATTGAGACCCTGCTGGGGAAGGTCATTTCCCCATGGAAACATGTCCACTACAGACTAGGGTTTCATACAAAAAAAAACTGTTGAGGGTATGTGGCCCAGGGGGATTCCTTGGTTTTAACTGGCAGAGGGCACAGGGGTTGCACAGGTTTTTACAGGGACCCCCCTGGGTCAGATATATGCATAGTAGTTCCTGAAAAGGGCAGCATATAAGATCTCAACCAAAAACCCAGAAACCATTGGTCTTCATAATCATTGCAAAACGTATCAATGGATAATATTTAAGGAATTATGCATCTATACTAAAAATTATGTTCTTAACAGGAGTTAAGGCAGGTTCACCAGGAGGTGACATGCCTCGGACATGTTCCTTTCAGACAGGAGGTAACAAATGCTTATCTCTCTGCCTGACCATGATTATTGTGTGTTGCATGCCTCACAATAAATGCCTTTTTGCATACTGAGCCAGCTATCAGTTGAAAGATTGCAAAATCTACGAGAGAGAAAATCTACAGGAAAACAAAAATAATTAGCAGGGGGGTGTCCTATTTATGATTAAGATCAAAGGATTAGTCTGTTATATCAGAGAATACAAAGAAACACACAGGATCCTTCACCGAGGAGGAAAACTGACAGCCTGTTGTGTCTCGTGAAAAAGGGGTCACTGCCAGTCTGGCTGTAAAAGTACTGGTGAGCAATACTTTATTAGACATGAGAGTATATCTTGTTAATTAAGTCTATGCTCTAGAATGTGTACTATGATTTATTTTATATGTAACCATTTGCTTCCAATAGTTCTACTTGCTATCTCTTGAATCTCTATTCATTGTTAAATAAACTTATACTTGATTTCCGTAGAAACACGTCTAAGTGTTAAGCGGAGCAGCGATCCAAAGGGAAACTGTTAAGCTGGAGTGCGCAGTTTCTTTGGCAGCAGCGAATTTGTGAATATCCAGTGAATCGGGGCTGGACATTCCAAGGAGACGCTTGGAGGGCTCGGTGGTTGAAGCATGCCCATCGCTAACCTGTATGCCTAGAGGGGAGTGCTTGTATTGTCTGCAGCTGGTGGAATTGGGGAGCTGACCCCCAGCAGGCATAGACAAGGGCTCCACATGCTATAGGAAGCTGGTAGTGAGGTGCCTCAACTCTGGGAACGCCTGGCAGAGCCGTCCCTTGGGTAGGGCAAATCACGGCGACCGCTCCGGGCCCCGCGCTTTAAGGGGCCTCACGCTTCGACATCACAGTGTCAGATGGGGTGAGGACAGCAGCTGTCTGCCATGAGCAGAACAGGCAGTGGCAGCCAGCGAGCAGGAGGCAGCTGGTGTGTCTGGCCTCGCCTCCCACCCAGTGGCTCATACCATTTGGCATAGCTGGGGGGGGGGAAAAAGGGGGGCTTGGCAGGCCCAGGTCAAGAGTTACTGGCTCCCACGCAGACAGCTGGGCTCCCCCGTGCCACCTGCGCACAGATCGCACGGCCCCCGCCTCCTCCCTGGACTCTTGGGCCCCTGCCGGGCCCAGGGCAGAGCTGGCAGGAGGGTGCCGCGCACGCAGCTCCCCCACCCCGTGCACCCACCCCAGCCCCACCATTATTCAAATGCAGAGGCCGGGGAGTGTGGGGTCCTAGCCCAGGCTGGCCAGGAGGCAGCATTGGCACCCAGCGGACAGCCACCCCCTACCACCAGTGGGTGGGCCTTGCTCCAGGTAACCCTCCTTGGCCCATGCTCCGTGGAGCAGCTGGAGCCCCATCGCCCCCAGCAGCCCACCCCAGCCCCATCCTCTCCCTCAGGGGAGACCCAGCACGCTCCCCGCCCCATGGGGGGCACATACAGGCTGATTCGTCCCGAACCCCGCACCTCCCTAGGGATGAGTCCCCTGACTCCTGGGAAGCGCCAGAGAGTGGATAAAGCAAGACTAAGTGCAGCCAAAAAGGAGCTGATTGGGTTAAGTGGGGAGGGTATGGAATATGTAGCAGTGGACTTCTCTGAAGAGATCAGCTGAATCCTGAGACAAGAGACATGGACCTAAAGAAGCTGCTCCAGGAGATTCCTTAATCCAATAAAAGTGTCTGGATTAACACACAAAATGCTTCAGATCCAATTCTGCATTAAACACAAATTGCGTATCGTAGCCTGTTGCTACAATAAAGGCTACGGCTGTTCTCTGTTAACCGGCATCCTGCTGTGCTCCCTACATGCAGCTTGTCCCTACCTTCTGCTCTGCCCAAAGGCACCTCCATTTCAGTCTCACTCTGTGTTTTGAGGGAGGGTTTTCAAAATCCATCCAGGTACAGCACAGTAGTGCCATTATATCTTCAAAGCACCTTGTCAGAGACGGAAGCTGAGGCACCTTCAGGCAGAGGAGAAGCTACAGCAATAACGTAACTGGCTGTATGTAGAGCATAGGAGGGGACAAAGCCAGGTCAGGCCTTTTGCTTTAATGCTGAGCTGATCCCTAGGCATTTACGAACCATGCATTTTCCTGGTTATGGATTTAGCCTGCTTTTCCTTTAGATCAATGCAAACAGTATATATAAGAAAATAGCCCTGCAGGAACAACTCTTCTACAAGAGCATGCCAAGCACTTTTACAGGCAAGTACTCGAGTGAAATGCTACAGGTAGTTTCAAACCAAATATCTCATCTCAATTCCATCGATTGAGTAAGTGATGGAAAACAAAGCACATAAGTTATATATTGACTACTGCTGAGTCCCAGGTTACTAAGAGCTTCTCTAATTAGACAACTAGATGCTGAACTGTACCAGAGCCCTGGTCAAGATGTAACCTCTCAGGACACTGATTAATGCGAAGTAACACACATTGGAAAACATAATCCCAACTATACATATACAATGATGGGGCCTAAATTAGCTATTACCACTCAAGAAAGATCTTGGAGTCATTGTGGATAGTTCTCTGAAAACATCCACTCAATGTGCAGCAGCAGTCAAAAGAGCAAACAGAATGTTGGGAAACATTAAGAAAGGGATAGACAATAAGATGGAAAACATCATATTGCCTCTATATAAATCCATGGTACGCCCACATCTTGAATACTGCATGCAGATGTGGTCGCCCCATTTCAAAAACGATGTATTGGAATTGGAAAAGGTTCAGAAAAGGGCAACAAAAATTATTAGGGGTATGGAACGGCTGCCATATGAGGAGAGAAAAATAAGACTGGGACTTTTCAGCTTGGAAAAGAGACGACTAGGGGGGGATATGATAGAGGTCTATAAATTCATGACTGGTGTGGAGAAAGTAAATAAAGAAGTGTTATTTACTCCCCATAACACAAGAACTAGGGGGTCACCAAATGAAATTAATAGGCAGCAGATTTGAAACAAACAAAAGGAAGTATTTTTTTCACACAAACACACAGTCAAATCTGTGCAACTCTTTGCCAGAGGATGTTGTGAAGGCCAAGACTATAACAGGGTTCAAAAAAGAACTAGACAAGTTCATGGAGCATAGGTCCATCAATGGCTATTAGCCAGGATGGGCAGGGATGGTGTCGCTAGCCTCTGTCTGCCAGAAGTTGGGAATGGGCAACAGGGGATAGATCACTCGATGATTACCCGTTCTTTTCATTCCCTTTGGGGCATCTGGCATTGGCCACTGTCAGAAGACAGGATACTGGGCTCAGATGGACCTTTGGTCTGACTCAGTACGGCCATTCTTATCACCCTGCCATTCCCCAAAAGATATCTGAGTTGCTATTATTAATAATATTCCCCAGTAAACAAAACAAGCAGATAAGACTTACTGATAGGTATTGGCATGTTACTGGTGTAATCTATGGCAACACCTACTGGTAAGGTGTCATCATTCTTATCTGTCACAGGAAGTTCTGCTCTGCTGGAATCTTCCAGAACCCATGATTCCCAGTTGTTCTGGAAAGAAAAAATATTTTTGCTACTGTTCTGTGATTTTCAGCACTCTCACTCACACTGGGAACAAGCTGCAAGAAAGCACAAATACCTTGCACATGAATTGTGGATAGCCTGGCTTTGGAATGTTAGCCAAAGATTTAGAAAGAATAGATAGCAACAAGATGGGTTATATCTGTCAAAATTTTCCAGGTTAAAAAAAAATCCTACAAGTATCAAAAACCTTCACAAATTCCTGAGTGACTTTTACATATGGTACTTACATTTTCTGGAATTAGTTCACTTTAAGATTCAAGTTAAACTAATGAGCTCAGCAAGACTAAAGTCACCATGGTGAAAAGTGATTCAGGATGTTAAACTGGCACCAAGCCACTGATGCAACACAGCCCTTTCGCACTTTGCTCACTACCTGCTATGCTTCAGTTCAGTCGTCCACTTTCTGGTTACTAAAAACTTGCTGGCTCATAAGCAAGGCAAGGATGTAATAAAAATTTCCTTTCGTCTTAAGATTCTACGTATATCAAATGGGTAAACCCTGAGATAAGCATTCTCTAGCCCTCAGATCTTGATATCCAGATAGCTTTCCTGGAAAAGATACATTTGGTCAAGTGCAGTAGAAAGGAAGGTTACCTGGTCCGCTTGTCTAGAGAGAATGCTGACTTCTGTGGAAGCTGCTGAAGCTGCCAGGACTAGATCCCTTCAAGTACAGAACCAAAACAGTGTTAAGTCCAAATAAGATGACAACACATAGAGTTCCTCAGCCCGTACTATTGTAAAAGGCATCCCAAATACTTATGGCATGCTTTATGAATCAAGAATGAAACTGATTTATCATGCTCAAGTGGTAAAACACAGGGGAGAAATACAGTGAACTCTTCACCATTCTAAACAGGTGTCATTAGCAGTCAGGGCTTCAGTTCCTTTGTCAGAGTTGATGATATAAAATACTCATGCACCATCATTATTCTAAGCGATTTGTGATGGAACAGAAATAAATAGTTTAACAAACAGGGCATAACATCTTCACACAGACCTGTGAACAGAAAAATCTAAAAGCTATCCACCACTTAAAGCATCATGTGGAAAGCACATGACTTTAAAAACCTTTGTGCATTTATTTTACCACCCAAAAACAGAGAAATGGATAGTTTGTTATGTATATAGACTTGGTCATAGGTCTCTACACTCACCACTCCTCAACATAGTTGAGAAAGTAATGATGCTGTCTCTCGGTGCAGCTACCATAGCAAGGCTCCATGAAATTCACAAACTTCTCTGGTCGTTTCTCTTCCTTTTTCTGCAGAGACCGGAGGAGCAGAAATCAACATTCGATTTAGCTTCCATTAAAGCAAGTGAAGTGAGCTGCTCATACAAATGGGTATATCTAGACAATATAGTTACATGACATTTCTTAGAAATATGCTCAGATCACTACAAACTTAATCTGGTCCAACTGTGTAAAGTGCGCAGGAGCAATCAGGAGTGCATGTGTGCACCACTATACACAAACCATCCTGGGAGGGTACAATTTGGTATTGTGTACAGCAGCAGGTTAACAAAAAAAAAAAAAAAAAAAAAAACAGTCTCTGGCTAGCCCACATATATGTGATAAACCATCAAGGTTACCTTTCAGAGCACCTGATATGCAGGACTTAAGTCCTGCTAACTTGGAGACCTCAAAAGGTCTACCATAGTCTAATCTCAATAGAAAATGGGATACTGATTTATTCCCAAGTGGACCCTACTTCAATTTTTTGCCATTAAGCTTCAGAATTGAGTTTGATACTGGAATCTCTATTTGATGCTAATGAGAACAGTAAAAAGAGCATACTATACTAATAAGCAGGTCAGAAGAACAGTGTTACCATCACATTCATTAGCATAAAATTCTTAAAATGAGAAAAATAAAGTTGAGACTTTCTAGCACTTACAGGCAATACAGCTATCACCACCTCTGGGGATGTTTCCAAGGTCCCATCAGCAGCTGCGTAAACTATAGTGAAGACATAGGTGCCAACCCAAAGCACATCCAGGACTGGAAGGAAAATGAATAATCATCGTCCAGAGACATCTTAAAAGGAGCACTTCCTTGGATATTGTGTACTATGTGCAACTAAAACCAAACTCGAATGCTATTGTGATATTGTAAATCTCATAGGGATGGTTTACACCTCTGCAGTAGCACGAAGACAACTTCTAATGCGCTACTTAGCCAACTACATATCATCTAGCAGACAACATACATGACGTGTTTGAGTGACATTAGGAGACCAACATTAGGAGGGACATTAGGAGTGACGCGAGGAAATTCAGAAACAAAGCTGAAGCATGTACCTGGGCCAGCCTACTGTGCTTTTGTACACTGTGGGCAAGAACACACCACTGTCTTCGCACACTGAACATATCTAACGACGGAGTTGAAGCCTTAACTCTAAATGTTCTGCATTTGCATCAGTATTAGAAAGTTCTGAATGTAATTTTGTAGTGGTGGTTTGAGTTTTATTATGAAATAAGGACAATTAGAATTTACCTCTTTTTTATATTTCTCTCATGAAGTGTCTGGAAATCTCCATGGCAAAATGTAATTGCAGACTTTAGAAAGTACAGCCCATCTTAAGTCATCATCACACATTGACATAATGCACATCTTAGAAACCCTAGATATGCACAGGAGCTACTCCCCTCCCCCCCCCCCACCACCAAGGCAGGTCACACAAATTTATCTTATTATTTTAATTATTTTGCATGTGCATAAAAAAGCAGTTTGTATTCATTTAAAAAAAAACATTTAACGGTTTTTTAAATGTTTGAATATTCATAGAATATGATGCCAGAAGGCACCATTGTGATTATCTAGTCTGACCTCCTGTATAACAGATCATGGGACTTCCCTGAACTAATTCCTGTTTGACCTAGAGCATATCTTTTAGAAAAACAACCAATTTTGACTTAAAAATTTTCAGTGATGGCAAATCCACCACAACCTTTTCTGAGTTGTTCCAATGGTTAATTATCCTCACTGTTAAAAAGTTCATGCCTTATTTCTACATATGAATGTCCAACTGAAACAAGGCCTTGTATATTAATTTTTGGCCTGGAGGCAGTTTTTATTACCAAATTAACCCCTCCCACCCCAAAAAGGTGTCTGTGGCAGAAACACCGGCACATCCTTAAGTACCTTAGCACCAACAAGAATCAACATAAAGAGACATCAATGGACATGACATTTTAATGGAAGAAAAGATTAAAAAAGAAAAAGAAATACTGTACCTTTAACAGGATTATCTGAGTCATAAAACGGAGGACAGGGAATTACTTTTTTCTCCTGCAGGGTCTGAAAGAAAAAGAATTCCTCTTTCAGAAATAAGATCAACAACCCTCATTAGGAGTTTAGCAGATCCCAAAGAATTGTTTTTAGGGTGCTACAGGTCCTTTTTAAGAGCTACCACATTCCTCCTCAGAGACCCTTGCATTTCAGCAGCAGCAGCAGATGTCCCAATACCTCTCAAAGGCAGATTGAGATGCTTAATGTTTATGATGTGCTTGGAAAGTCTCACCTCAAAGGCACTGTACTATCTACACTATGCTCCCAATGTCAATAGCCTCATGCTGATGAAAGGCAAAATTAAAGCTAATTAGAAGTCAGTGAAAAGAAACAATGAATTACTGCAAACAAAAACTTACAGGCAGATACTGGACCACAGTGCCATTTTGTTTCCCTACAGCCAGTTGCTTTCCCTTGGGGCTCCAGCACACTAAGTAAACAAGAGGGTTTTATCAGCACAAAATAGAACGGCAGTGGAAGAATTAAACTCTTACAGTACTTCCCAGTGACAGCATCAGTAAACTAAATACCACTCAAACCTGAGCCAAATAGCCAATCCTACTGAAGTTGTCCTCTCTTGTGGATTCCATGGACTTTACCATATGGCAATGCTCAGATTAATTAAAATTTTAGCAACATTTAACTTTCTGCACATCTGCCTTAGAGTCTGGCTACACAAAAACTTGCACTGGCTTAAACTGGTGAAAATCCTGTGATTTAAGACTAGCCACAAAGTTGCACCCATTTAACTAAATCAGTTTAAAAAAAAAAAAAAAAATCACACCTTTTGTAAAACCAGTGCAACGTGTGTTTGAACCAGGCCTCATCTGGGCTAGAAGTCTGGAGAATGCTTGCAAAACATTAATTCTGCTTGCTTGCACCCCACATCACAGAAGACAAAGTTCCTCAAGCACTGATGTAATTGAAAAATGCAGGGAAACAATTCTATTTTACCTGCAATACTGCGCCTTTCCTTCAAGTGATATTGAAGGCCTGATACAATGTAACCTTTTGTCAGAAACATTTAGCTCTAATTCTCAAAGTGGGCTGCTCAAGAAGGTCGAACATTTTTTTAGAAAACCTCTACTGGACTATAATTAAGTTCTATTAAGTTTAACTCCATTTGCTCCCCAGGAGAAAATTTTAAAATTGCTGTAAAGGCAAATAAGCCTGTCTCTCTAGTGACATCTACACTTCCACACACTTTACGGCATCTTCCATCTTTACGAATTATCACTAAGCCAGAGTTGTGTCACCCACCTGACGTAACAGCCACCGAGGAGGGAAGAGTGGCATACACTTTCACAGACTCTGTGACCTGCAGGACAGAGATGCTACCATCGGACAGACAGACAGCGACCATGGAGGGGCTGGCAGGGTTCCACTTCAGATCACAGACCATTGCCATGCTGCCTGAGTCTTTGGCCAGTTTATGATAAGCAAATGGACGTTTCTGCTGTTTAGCCTTTTAAGAGAAAAGAAATGAATGCCTTAGCCCATAAATTCAGTGTGCAAACAAGTTCTCCCAAACTCACAATCCATAACGATTTGGCCCTGCTGTACGGTAACGATTGCGATGTAGGAAAGAAACACTGACTGCTACAGCACACAAACCAAGACTTAATGCAAGTTAAAGTGACATGTTTAGGTTAAAAGTTATGTATTATTTAAAAATTATTTCCTTGTGTCATGTTAATTTCTCCAGATGACTAAAAATTTTAAAAATCTAGTTTATTTTTTCCACCATTTAGGTTAATGGGGGGGGGGGGGGGGAGGGGAAGAATTAGTTTCACTATTGTCAGTTTCCCTTTCCTATTCTACAGTGCTGCAGCGGCTGGGTTGCAAACACTGAGGGGGATGTGTAAACGTATGAGCACATTGTTTATGCCAGAATATTAAAAAAAACAAATATTAATCCCTTTGCAGTGACATTTAAGTATGTTCAGTGCTGCACAAGATCAAATACTGTCACTGTTTCTAGCATCTAATAGTAGCGAAGTTCTTTTTTAAATCTATATTTGGACCTAAACAACCTGATAATGCCCTTTTAAAAGCCAGAAGAGCAGCTGTGGAAATACCACTCCCTATATTGGGGGCTCACAGTCAATACTAAAGTTCAGTTTTAGCACTCTAACACGAAAGCCCATGATACTTGATAAAAAGCAAGCAGTAAACTATACAAACTATCATGTGGAACAATTGAACAAGGCCAAAATAAGTCATTTTCTGACCCTACTGCAGTAGAATATTTTCTGGATAATGATTTAATCTTTTCTTTCAACACGTGCCTTATTCAAGGAGAGATTACAGCTACGCAATACCAGAGAGTGCAATAGTGGAGAAGGACAATCACAAACACTGCTTAGTGCAGCTGACAGGGCTAGCATACAAGCAGGAGCTTGAATTACCACATTCCAAGTCAGAGGTGGCAGTATTAATATTTGGCACTTTTCTTCTTCACAGGGCTGTTTGAACATCAGTTGTGAGATCCTCACAACAGCCCCGTGAGGTAGGTAAATAACCTAATTTTACAGGTGGGGAAACTAAAGCAGATTTTAATTGAAAAGTTATTGAATAACCCTCACAGTTCTTTGCGTACAAAGCATACTCTACTATGGACACCCAGGAAAACATTTTGAAATATCCCCTATCATCACATGCTTCCTTTCAAGGTGAAATTTGTACATCTGTTTGCATGTACCTTACCTGATTTGAGAACGTGCGGACATCAAAAAAGCCAATGAAGGAACCAAACTCACTGGATGTCATGCAGACAGACAGTGTGAGGTTATCACAGCTCAGAGCCAGGTGATGCACAGGAAACTTCATAGGAACCAATATACTTGGAACATTTTCAACTTAAAAACAAAAGGAAACGGAAGAGGGAAAGTATGGAGTGGTCACTCTTAGAAAACAGTCAACAGTACGTGGTCATTTTAAGCAGAATTATTAAGTAAATACAGATGCCACCTGGTAACCTAAAGTGTATTCATGTAAAGCTAAACACTGCAGACTAGTTCTAAAGGAGGCGTAGAGACATGTATTCCACTTTCCATGAGTCAAGTCTGAATAATCTTTTGGATGCTTAACCATCTTGAAGAGGAACAATTCTAATTACAGGTTTTTGAGGAATTTCCTTGTTCTGGATCCTGGCATGTGGATTGCCCTAAAACTGAAGAGGCCGAGACTTAAATCTACTTGGTTGTAAATTTTAATACACAAATTATTGGAAGGGTTGTATAGCACAGATCAAATAGAACTCATGACAATTTTTTAAAAATTTGATGGCTAATATCCCAGCAGGTCTCATTACTTTTGAGACTAAAATATGGCATCAGAATCACAGAAGCGAGATGAAGACTATTTTCCTTACAGCATCCGGTCCTGACCTTTATCAGAGACAGAATACTGGATTAGATGGATGATTTGATTTCATATAGCCAGGCAATCCCTGAATTCCTGTGAATATCAACTGTCAGAGGTACAAGTCTGGTAACGCTTCTCAGGTGAAAGAAAGTACTTATATGGCACACATCACAATTGTATTTTTAATTACTCAGGAGACCTTCAGATACTAACAACCACCTCTCTTTCTTCCCAGCCTCTAAGGAAAAACAGCTTGATGAATTTATAGGTTTGTTTGTTTGTTTACATGAGCAAGAGGGTGTATTTGGTAATTTATGAAGAAGTTACAGAGAGAAAGTTAAATTGAAGAAATTACTTTTGCACTGAGGTCTGAAAGCGGTAGTTTTGTGATGACTCATCTCTTTTACTGGAGAGGGTTCCACAATCTAGGTTGAGCTCCTGTGAAAATTTTATCTCCTGCTCTCACAAGCCTCCGTAAGTGAGTTCACAGGTTCACTATTGTCCTGATAGACTGCACCTGTCACAGGAGATCATGGCTGTGAACAAAACAGCACTCTCTCCAGTAGCTAAAGGTAATCCCATGGAGGACTTTGAATGTCAGGAAGGAAAAACTGAACAGGAATTTATTCAATGGGGAGCCTGTGCAGAGAGTATGGTATCCTGATAACACGTTCACAGCAATTTATATTGCAAAGTAGACAACTGCTGCATCTTGTATCAACTGGAGTTGCATCAGCATATGTTGCCTCATTCCTAGATATAACAAATTCAAATAATGAAGCCTGGTAGTCACAAATTCATTGATCACCACAACCAGGCCAGTATCAAATGGAACATGGCACGAATAGACTAATCAACTATGTCATAGACCTTCCAAATGCATCTCTCTTCACTGTACAGTAATAAAAAAAGCTTACCAATTTTATTGCGATCTTCTCCTGCTTGATTCTGCATGAGAAGATCTTTAGTGAGAAAGATCTGCAGGCCAGTTGCTCCACCAGCAAAGACTAGCCCATATTTGTTCGAGATGGCAAGGAGACTGGAACGCTCTTTAGGGAGTTCCTCAGGAGCATCAAATATTCGGACCTTCTTCAACGCTCTGAACTGAAAATCCTGTTATAAAAAAATAGAGTTAAAAAGCAATTCTATACATGGGGTGGGGAAGAGGACAGAAAACTGAGTTTCACTTACACCCTGGAGAAACTGAACTTATTAAAAAGCACTTTACACTTTCCCACTACTACACATACAGCCTCTCAATTGTTACTTTCCACATGGTTGCCAAACCACAAGCTCCTGAAAATTATTTTAAATAGTTTACACACCACAATGACAAAAATATTGACCCTAAAATTGACCCAAGGAAAAATCATTTGTTACAATCACTTCCAGATTTTTTTTAATAAACAGAGAGTGTGATAGGGATAGTTCCATGAATTATCTATAAACAGATGGACCAAGGACTTCACTCAGCACATTTAATATTGACAAGATAAATAATGCAGAATAGGAAAGGCTGTTATTAATCTCATGAAACACTTTCACCACAAACTGTAACAGGTGCCTTTTCAACATGATATTGACATCTCTCTCAGGGAGGTTTAAATACTAAACCATTTCTTCTTCTTCTTCACTTTTTCCACTTTACAGCCTGAGCACCAAGTTATTTTCAAGCATCTTTTTAAAAGTATTTTTCTATCAGGTGTCCTAAAATGGACCACTTCTTTTCACTGTTTACAAAATAAATTAGGAAGTCACCATTTTAATTCCTGACAGGTATTTTTTTTTTCAAAAGTTTGATAATCCTTAATATACTTGGCACTAATTGGCAGCATTTGGAAAACCTGAAGACATTCCTAGAAGGTAGCACAACATTTTCCATTTGAAAAAAACAGTGCATCATGGCTAGTACAGTCATCAGAGTGACAGTTGAGGGACACTGTCAACTTAAAAGTGGTATATGTGTCTGAATATATTTTTACCTGCTATTGTAGTAACACTTAAGATAGCTATACCCAAAACAATAGGAAAAAATCCCCCTCCATCTTCCCTCTCCCCCTTGAATGTTTACTTTGTGTATTTGGCAGTAGTTTGCATATAATCACTCCCCCCTATTGTTTGCATAGGGCTTTTGCATCACAGGAAACAGAAAAATTGGAAAAAAGGTGATTATAAACCACAACATTTTAAAGATACATATAAATGCCGATTGACTGGATTGAGAACTTTATGGTAACATTATTACTATGCAGTCTCACTCCCCAAGTTAAAAGGTTGACACAAAAACACGCACAAACCAATGTTTTAAAATGTAATGGTGGTGCCCAACGTTAGGCTCCTAAACAAACTGCCTGATGGGGCAGGAGGGGTACTGACCACACACTAGGACGACCAGATGTCCTGATTTTATAGGGACAGTCCTACTATTCGGGGCTTTGTCTTACATAGGCGCCTATTACTCCCATCCCAATTTTTCACACTTGCTATCTGGTCACCCTAGCACCTGCTGATGTAAAAGGCACTTGTGGGTGCCCCCCACCTCTCCAAAAAAACAGACCACTTATTTAGGGGTCCCCCTCCCTTAGGCACTTAGTAAAGTGCCTAAATATAGATACAGGCGTTTAACTCGATACCGCCAGGCGTGGAAAACTGAGGAAGCAACCGCGTGAAACACAACAATGTTTCACCTGAATAACCAGTCTCGCTACCAAGCTCTACGAAGGAAGCTGGTTTAGCTCCTGCCTGGAAAGGAGCTTGCCCTGGGCCAGCGAGTAACATGGGCCCCGGCAGCCCGGGGTCCCAGTTCCACGGGACAGGGCTCCACCCATACAGGGGAGAGGGGGATGACTGGGCCCGAGAGAGAGGATGAAGAATGTTCATTTGAACAGTGGAAGAGGGAATGGCTGCTGAGCTGAGTGACAGGCTGCCACCACCCTACCCCCAGGCGTCCTCCGACCCAGCTCCCTGCCCCCGGAATACAGCCCCCCCCGTGCACCCTAACAATCCTCCCACCCAGCTCCCTGCCCCTAGGACACAGCCCCCCCCGTGCACCCTAACAATCCTCCCACCCAGCTCCCTGCCCCTA